TAATAAGCAGTGAAACCAGAGTAGGATACAGAATGATCCGTCACAAAATATACATAAAGGACGTTGCTGTGACTGTAAACACACCAAGAGTTTTGATGATCGCAGCGCTTTATTGTGAGGCTTTGGTGAGACGTTCCGTCATATATCTGCACGTAGTCGTAAGGGCAACTTCCAGAGCTACCTTCCAGATGAAAATGATCAAAGCGGAGGTATATGTAGTAGCCATTTGGTACAGTAATAACCCAAACACAATAAAGTTGGTGGTCGTAGTTAGATGGGTAATTTGGGCTGTGGAAATATCCGTACTGGCCTCCTAAGTTGTAAAGACAGGATCCTGAAACAGACAAAATTGAAACATGATTAATGTAACGTTATCTTCATTTCTCTATTATCGTGTACATGATTTTAGTTTTAACATTCCATTTGAACAAGGTCAATAACGTTTGACGGAAGAAACAGTCATTAAAACTCCTAGTCTTACCTGGAAGAGCCGGTAGCATGGCTGACGCCGTTGAAGACATGGAAGTTGCTTCATTCAAAAAGGGAAATAGAAAAAGACTTTTGTTACTCCTATGGTTGAATAGCAAATCTACTGGGTTGTTTTTAACGCTGCCGGAAGACGCATGTACATTTTCTTAAAGAGAATTTAAATACATATATGATAGAATGAAATCCAACAACAGCGTTTACAAAAAAAGACAAAAGAAAAAAGAAAATAATGAAATACCTGGAGAAGGTGATATATTGGTAGCAGATGAGGTAGATTGGCTACCTGTAAAAGGAAAATGATAATCACGTAAAAGCTTCGAAGTTGACTTCGACTAGGAATTATGCCGAGACAGATGTTACTAGCAGTTGTATGCTTTTAGTCAATCTGCCTCTTTGAGTATTTCCTTTCCGTGTATGAGTCAAATTTAATTAGATCTGCTTGTAACTAAATCCCTTAAGAGCCTGTTTTTTCCAGTTTGACTGCAGTTTCCCTCTCTATCTTACCTTCTCAATTTCCACAACAGAAGTGGTGGAAATAGTAAAGGAAATACTAGCGCTAGTTGTGGTGGTCGTGGTAGTAAAATTAGTGTTGAACGTAGTGGTGCTAGTGGTAGAAGGAGTGGTACTGGAGGTGGTTATGGTTGTGATAACAGTGTAGGCGAAAGGTGGTTGTGATGTCGGTGAAAGTGGTAGTGTTAGTGGCAGTTGTATCATTATGGGTTAGTTGTAATGGTAGGGATAGTGATAGTGGTGGTGGGAGTGGCAGCACTAGCAACAACAGAAACAAGATAATTACCAACTTAAGTAGTAGGAGTGCTTGAAGAGATGTCTGTAAATGAAAATAAACATCAGAAGAAGTTCCTAGCAGGAATGATCATTTAACCGGTATAAACCTTTTGCTCAGGCAAAGAAAACGTTTGACACACCGACTGTCACCTAACATTTTCTTTAGTTAGTGATACCTAAAAGTACAGGAAATGGGTTCTAAACTCTGATGATGACGTCTGCTCAGGTTACTTGTCTAAACGACAGTCAGTAGTGCCGACAACAGTCCTTCTCAGGGCCACAGACGATTAGCTTACACCATCATACACTTTAAAATGTGATAATGAATAAAGAAAAGAGTATGCAATCAGTGCTAAGTCTTGCAAAAGTACTTCACAGGATCGATATTGTACATTGAAATTCGAAGGAACATAAGCACCACACAAGCACTGTTATAGTAAATCTTTTGATTGTGAAGATCATCGAGAGAATACCAACTTGAGATCATTCAAGCTGGACATCTTACCAAAAGTTCGAAATTCAGTAAGCTTTAATCCGCACTCAACTACTTAGTTTCATGAAAACAAGAAAACAAGAATATCTCCATCCTTGTTCTGTTCGTCAACCTGGTATTTGTGAAGATAGAAAGGTGGAAAGGAGGAGGGAAAAGGGGGACAGATGAGCTTGCAAAATTAGCGAGCAAATGACAAAAGTGTACTCTGGGCTTTCCTTGGCGGATCTGGAAGAGGAGGTCAAAGGCAAACGAATAGAGACCATTTCACAGCAGCCCCAAAGAGAGGACTCCCGAGAAATCAGCTCCCTAGAAACCACTGCCTGCCTACCTGTCCTTCTTCCTGTTCTACTTGAGTGTGCGTCTATCGGTATTGCTTTGCATAATGTTTTGAAAAGTTACCATCAGACATGCGGATAAATGCAAGAATAAACGTAGCCTTACTTGAATTGACTTTGCAGACTGCGTATCTCTTAGAGACTTTTTCATAAAAGGCAGTGAAACCAGGGTAGGAAACTGAACCGTCTGTTTGGAAGTGTACGTAAAGGATGTTACTTTGGCTGTAAATGCACCAGGAATCTTGATAATCGCAGCGTCTCATTGTTAGGCTTTGATAAGAATTTCCATCATATATCCGTACGTAGTCGTAAGGGCAACTTCCATGACTACCCTCCAGATGGAAATGATCAAAGCGGAGGAAAATGTAAGAACCTGGTGATGTCGTAATAAGCCAAGTACAATGGACATTGTGGCCGTAGTTTTGTGGGTAGTTTGGAGTGCTAAAATTTCCTTGTGGTCCATATAGATTGTAGAGACAGGATCCTAAAAAAGTCAACAACATAAGTTAGACTATCAATTGTTATTTAGACATTAAACATATCTCCGGGAATTCAGCCTTATTTACGAAATACTAAAGAGTCATACAGTCTTACCAGAGGCAGGTGGCAACATGGTTGTTGACATTGGTGATATCGATGCTGTGAAGGCAAGGAAGGGATGATCAAAGATAGGATATGTTAGTACTTCCTAATTTATTTGTTAAGTACATGCACCTTGAAAAGGAATAAACCAAAAAAAAATAGATGTGTGCTAGTTGAATCTAGGAAAAAAAAAAGTGCTAGCACCTTAGCTCTAAAGGGCCAATAGGATTTACACCAGATTATTTTGCATTTCTGCAATATGTAAACTTGCTGAAATAAATTTCAATTGGTAACTCACAAATTGAAACAAAATGAAAAACTAACGATAAAGTAAATAATTGGATGAGAAAAAAAAGTACCTGGTGTTGAAGATATACCACTAAAAGTACTCGATGGTAAATGGTGAGCTGTGGGAAGAAAATAATTATGGTGGCTAAAGGTTATCTACTGAAAAACTGTATAGGTACGAGCTCAGGATACACAAGAAAATGTGTGCAAGCCCTTTAACCCTGTATTTCTTGGAAAAGAGCCCTGCTTAACTGATTTATGTTTGCCTGATTTTGTGTAGTCAGTGTGGTGTGTGTTTATCTGACCAACTTACTCGTTGTGTGGCACGTACTGAGTACAGTAAGGAGCTCGTCTTATGATATCGATAAAGATAATTTAATGGACAAAGTTTTTAAAATCAAGGCTAAAAGCATTTCTTTGTTCCTGATTCTCTTCAAATATATATATATATATATATATATATATATATATATATATATATATATATATATATATATACACGTTGCAATAGGGGAAAAAGACAGAGAAACTACTTTTATCCCTACAACCTGTTTTGTGATTCCTCACCATATAGGAATATCTTTTTCTCTTCCAAAATGTTTTTAGCGTGTCTGTTCGCTTGCTACTTGTGTGCGTCTTTTTGTATTTTTGTTTATTTTTTTAAGAATAATTTTTTTGTTTTTTTCTCTATTGTCCTTTTTATCCTAACTATCTCCATAATAATAACAGTCCACGCATGATAACTGTATTTTAAGTCTTAGGGGGAAAGTCTTAGTCATAAGCCCCAGGCATTCGAAATGAACTTCCTCCCCAAGAGCAAGAAGAGAACTATATACATTCACATTTAGATATTGTAAATATTATAAATATTTTCAGGCAAAATAAATCGAATCAATAACCAGCAGAATTCAATGAAAATAGACAACTATTGGAAAACCTTTCTGGTCATATCCTTACTTGCATTTGGATGCGGGCAGACATAATATGTTTCATGGACTCTTTCATAATAAGCAGTGAAACCAGAGTAGGATACAGAATGATCCGTCACAAAATATACATAAAGGACGTTGCTGTGACTGTAAACACACCAAGAGTTTTGATGATCGCAGCGCTTTATTGTGAGGCTTTGGTGAGAAGTTCCGTCATATATCTGCACGTAGTCGTAAGGGCAACTTCCAAAGCTACCTTCCAGATGAAAATGATCAAAGCGGAGGTATATGTAGTAGCCATTTGGTACAGTAATAACCCAAACACAATAAAGTTGGTGGTCGTAGTTAGATGGGTAATTTGGGCTGTGGAAATATCCGTACTGGCCTCCTAAGTTGTAAAGACAGGATCCTGAAACAGACAAAATTGAAACACGATTAATGTAACGTTATCTGCATTTCTCTATTATCGTCTACATGATTTTAGTTTTAACATTCCATTTGAACAAGGTCAATAACGTTTCACGGTAGAAACAGTCATTACAACTCCTAGTCTTACCTGGAAGAGCCGGTAGCATGGCTGACGCCGTTGAAGACATAGAAGTTGCTTCATTCAAAAAGGGAAATAGAAAAAGACTTTTATTACTCCTATGGTTGAATAGCAAATCTATTGGGTTGTTTTTAACACTGCCGGAAGACACATGTACATTTTCTTAAAGAGAATTTAAATACATGTATGATACAATGAAATCCAACAACAGCGTTTACAAAAAAAGACAAAAGAAAAGAGAAAATAATGAAATACCTTGAGAAGGTGATATATTGGAAGCAGATGAGGTAGATTGGCTACCTGTAAAAGGAAAATGATAATCACGTAAAAGCTTCGAAGTTGACTTCGACTAGGAATTATGCCGAAACAGATGTTACTGACAGTTGTATGCTTTTAGTCAATCTGCCTCTTTGAGTATTTCCTTTCCGTGTATGAGTCAAATTTAATTAGGTCTGTTCGGAACTAAATCCCTTAAGAGCCTGTTTTTTCAGTTTGACTGCATTTTCCCTATCTATCTTACCTTCTCAATTTCCACAACAGAAGTGGTGGAAATAGTAAAGGAAATACTAGCGCTAGTTGTGGTGGTCGCGGTAGTAAAATTAGTGTTGAACGTAGTAGTGCTAGTGGTAGAAGGAGTGGTACTGGAAGTGGTTATGGTTGTGATAACAGTGTAGCCGAAAAGTGGTTGTGATGTTAGTGAAAGTGGTAGTGTAAGTAGCAGTTGTATCATTATGGGTTAGTTGTAATGGCAGGGACAGTGATAGTGGTGGTGGGAGTGGCAGCGGTAGCAACAACAGAAACAAGATAATTACCAACTTAAGTGGTAGGTGTGCTTGAAGAGATGTCTGTAAATGAAAATAAACATCACAAGAAGTTCCTAGCAGGAATGATCATTTAACCGGTATAAACCTTTTGCTCAGGCAAAGAAGACGTTTGACACACCGACTGTCACCTAACATTTTCTAAAGTTAGTGACACCCTAAAGTACAGGAAATGGGTTCAAGACTCTGATGATAACGTCTGCTCAGGTTAATTGTCTAAACGACAGTCAGTAGTGCCGACAACAGTCCTTCTCAGGGCTACAGACGATTAGCTTACACCATCATACACTTTAAAATGTGATAATGAATAAAGAAAAAAGTATGCAATCAGTGCTAAGTCATGCAAAAGTACTTCACAGGATCGATATTGTACATTGAAATTCGAAGAAACATAATCACAGTGAGTAAGTACAATTTTATGACAAAATACCATCCTATACCAAAGGTGAATGATAAATAGTAATTAGAAGAAATGCGAAAGGAGTAAACCAAGATGTTAACGCGTGAGAAAATTCTAAAGTAGAAATCAGTTACAAGGTTTACAAAATCAAATAAAAATTGAGATTACTCCCACTGTAAAGTCAAGGTTCTAAATTCTTCAAAAATTCTCTAGCTATATTGAGCAGGAGGAGACAAAAAGTTTCACAGAGATCCAAACTGAAACAAAGGAAATTATTAAAACTGAAATGGTGTGATTTTTAGTTTTTTTGCCTGGGAGTGTACTGCTATAGTAAATTTTTTGAGGACTCCCGAGAAATCAGCTCCCTAGAAACCACTGCCTGCCTACCTGTCCTTCTTCCTGTTCTACTTGAGTGTGCGTCTATCGGTATTGCTTTGCATATTTTTTTGAAAAGTTACCATCTGACATGCGGATAAATGTAAGAATAAACGTAGCCTTACTCGAATTGACTTTGCAGACTGCGTATCTCTTAGAGACTTTTTCATAAAAGGCAGTGAAACCAGGGTAGGAAACTGAACCGTCTGTTTGGAAGTGTACGTAAAGGATGTTACTGTGGCTGTAAATGCACCAGGAATCTTGATAATCGCAGCGTCTCATTGTTAGGCTTTGATAAGAATTTCCATCATATATCCGTACGTAGTCGTAAGGGCAACTTCCATGACTACCCTCCAGATGGAAATGATCAAAGCGGAGGAAAATGTAAGAACCTGGTGATGTCGTAATAAGCCAAGTACAATGGACATTGTGGCCGTAGTTTTGTGGGTAGTTTGGAGTGCTAAAATTTCCTTGTGGTCCATATAGATTGTAGAGACAGGATCCTAAAAAAGTCAACAACATAAGTTAGACTATCAATTGTTATTTAGACATTAAACATATCTCCGGGAATTTAGCCTTATTTACGAAATACTAAAATGTCATACAGTCTTACCAGAGGCAGGTGGCAGCATGGCTGTTGACATTGGTGATATCGATGCTGTGAAGACAAGGAAGGCACGATCAAAAATAGGATTTGTTAGTAATTCCTAATTTATTTGTTAAGTACATGCACCTTGAAAAGGAATAAACCAAAAAAAAAGACGTGTGTTAGTTGAATCTAGGGAAAAAGAAAGTACTAGCACCTTAGCTCTAAAGGGCAAATAGGATGTACACGAGATTATGTTGCATTTCTGCAATATGTAAACTTGCTGAAATAAATTTCAATCGGTAACTCACAAATTGAAACAAAATGAAAAATCAACGATAAAGTAAATAATTGGATGAGAAAAAAAGTACCTGGTGTAGGAGATATACCACTAAGAGTACTCGATTGTAAATGGTGAGCTGTGGGAAGAAAATAATCATGGTGGCTAAAGGTTATCTACTGAAAAACTGTATAGGTACGAAGTCAGGATGCATAAGAAAGGGTGTGGAAGCCTTTTAACTCTTTATTTCTTGGAAAAGAGCCCTGCTTAACTCATGTATGTTTGCCTGATTTTGTGTAGTCAGTGTGGTGTGTGTGTTTATCTGACCAACTTATTCGTTACGTGGCACTTCCTGAGTATAGTAAAGAGCCCGTCTCATGATATCGATAAAGAGAATTTAATGGACAAAGTTTCTAAAATCAAGGCAAAAAGCATTTCTTTGTTTCTGTTTCCCTTCAAATATATATATATATATATATATATATATATATATATATATATTTTTTTTTTTAACATGTTTCAACCGCGTGTGCTTGCTTGCTATTTGTGTGCGTATGTTTGAATCTTTGTATTTTTGTGTATTTTTCTCAAATATCACTTTTGATTTTTTTTTCTCTTTTGTGCTTTTTATCTTAACTATCTTCAGTTAATAATAGTCCATGCATGATAACTGTATTTTACGTCCTAGGGGGGTAAAGTCTTAGTCATAAGCCCCACGCATTTGAAATGAGATACCTCGCCAGGAATAAGACGAAAATTGTATACATTCACATATAGATATTACAAATATCGTAAATATTTTCTGGAAAATAAATCGAATGAATAACAAGAAGAATTCAATGAAAATAGATTACTATTGGAAAACCTTTCTGGTCATATCCTTACTTGCATTTGGATGCGGGCAGACAATATATGTTTCTTGGACTCTTTCATAATAAGCAGTGAAACCAGAGTAGGATACAGAATGATCTGTCACAAAATACACATAAAGGACGTTGCTGTGACTGTAAACACACCAAGAGTTTTGATGATCGCAGCGTTTCATTGTGAGGCTTTGGTGAGATGTTCCGTCATATATCTGCACATAGTCGTAAGGGCAAATTCCAGAGCTACCTTCCAGATGAAAATGATCAAAGCGGAGGTATATGTAGTAGCCATTTGGTACAGTAATAACCCAAACACAATAAAGTTGGTTGTCGTAGTTAGATGGGTAATTTGGGCTGTAGAAATATCCGTACTGGCCTCCTAAGTTGTAAAGACAGGATCCTGAAACAGACAAAATTGAAACATGATTAATGTAACGTTATCTTCATTTCTCTATTATCGTGTACATGATTTTAGTTTTAACATTCCATTTGACCAAGGTCAATAAGGTTTCACAGTAGAAGCAATCATTAAAACTCCTAGTCTTACCTAGAAGAGCCGGTAGCATGGCTGACGCCGTTGAAGATATGGAAGTTGCTTCATTCAAAAAGGGAAATAAAAAAAGACTTTTATTACTCCTATTGTTTAATAGCAAATCTATTGGGTTGTTTTTAACGCTGCCGGAAGACGTATGTACATTTTCTTAAAGAGAATTTAAATACATGTATAATATAATGAAATCCGACAACAGTGTTTGAAAAAAAAGACAAAATAAAAAGAAAATAATGAGATACCTGGAGAAGGTGATATATTGGAAGCAGATGAGGTAGATTCGCTACCTGTAAAAGGAAAATGATAATCACGTAAAAGCTTCGAATTTGACTTCGACTAGGAATTATGCCGAGACAGATGTTACTAACAGTTGTATGCTTTTAGTCAATCTGCCTCTTTGAGTATTTCCTTTCCGTGTATGAGTCAAATTTAATTAGATCTGTTCGTAACTAAATCCCTTAAGAGCCTGTTTTTTCAGTTTGACTGCATTTTCCTTATCTATCTTACTTTCTCAATTACCATAATAGAAGAAGTGGTGAAAATGGTACAGGAAATACAAGTACTAGCCCCTAGGAGAGGACTCCCGAGAAATCAACTCCCTAGAAACTACTGCCACAGTATGCCAGGCTCCACTGGTAGAGGATGATGATCTAGTTTTGCGAATGTTTAGGTGAGATTTTATCTTGAACTCAGTCACGATTTTAAGATAGATCATATTCCCAGAACTGACAAGATAAGCTTGCTTGGTTTGATGATCCATATAAATTTATTTATTTATTTATTTTGCACAAGATCATCATTATAACAACACTACATACTGCAACGCAATTAATATAATCCTGAGCGGGAAGTCTCAGAAGCCTTTTTAGGCTTATCTAGGAGACCCCCTTTACTACCTGATAAGACAAGTCTGGCGGTCAATGATTACAGATCTTATACATTGATTTACAGATTCGTGAGTAAGTTACATTGGTATTGAATATATTACTTTTTAAGCAAATGAAGATCATCACAGTATATACTCAACTTAAGCAGTTGAGAAATAAGGCCTGAAAAAACTTCAGGCCTGAACGGGAATCGAACCCATGACCTCTGCGATACCGGTGCAGCGCTCTAACCAACTGAGCCATCAAGCCAACTGGGAGCTGGTCAATTGTGAGTTCGTTATATACCCGT